TTCTGCCCCTACATGGCTTATGGCAAAGAATAAACATGACTTTTGAAAAGTCTCCTTCCTGTTGTTCCTTCATAAAGGATTTGTTAATTGCATGATTTCAAAGAACATCTATATTTATACTTTGATAAAATTTCCCACACAAATATTTTTGGTGAGTTTTCAATGCAAGTAGCTGAGCTGGATTTTATTAAAGGATATCCAAGTAGACTGGGCTAAAACTAATTTATGCTTTGGAATAAATAAAAAAATATTAATCCCTTTTATTCCCCCAAAGAATATTTGCTATTTTGTGGAAAGGTTTAGTAGACGTAAAAACATTTGAAAGGCTATGTTGATATAAAAATTAAAACCCTATTATATAGCTTTACTAAATGATTACTCTGTTGTTCTCTGTTTTCAGGCATGATGGAGACCCAAGCTGCTAAATAAAGCAGACAAACTCAAACACTTGTTGCGCCATCAAATGGATGCACCAAGGTTCATGGATGTGCAGTGTTGACCTGTGGACCAAATTTTAGTTTTCCCCCATTTGTTTTCTAGACTTGAGTTTTTAAATCTGAATGTAAAACATTCAGATGAGGGACTTTGTTTTCTGTAAAGACTACAGACACATTAAGATGTCTTTATGTAAAGCTTTGAAAGCATCACTCAGAGGTCACATGTTCGGTAGCCAATAATGTAGCCAGTAATAAATAAACATGTTGGTGCTGTAGTACAGCAATTGCAAAAATCAGGAAAAAATTTGATGTTTCAGTAAAACTTTGTGAAATCAGGCATTAGAACGAATCTGTGTGTCTGTGTAAGATTTATTAAGCTTTTATACTCTTGTACATCTTTTCCTGTACATATGATTTTGTAATACTTTTTACAAATACCTTTTTGTAGAGTTGTGTTTTATTTTTCTACATCAGTTTTGACTGTATATCTGTTGGACTTATTTTGTTTTCTATGACCATCATGAAAAACATAATTTCAGAAAGCTTAAGTTTAAATGTAGTTCAGGACTATTCCTCTTGTCTTCATATTCTGTTTGTAAAGTTACAAATAATCAGTTTTTTCCAGATGGGTTCTGTACATATCTTTCTATGTTAAGGCTGGGCTTTAGTTTTCTGGCTGTGTGGGCAGCTGAAACCTGTAAATATTTTTTTTCTAAATCCGCTTTTAGAAATTAGTTCCATAGATTTAAAACCACTATGACCAGAAAAAAAGACTTGACTGTAACGTTTCTTAGTTACATGACTTGAAATATTAATGTTCTTCACTTAAAGAGAACAGGTAAAGCAGCTGTATTTCTGATTTTCTTTTCTTTTTTTTTTGTTGTCTTCCATTTTGGAGATATTATGCATACATTCAGAGAGGCACCTTTAAAGAAGTTACAGCTGATGTTCTCATTTGTTCTCTTTTTTTTTTTTAGGTCTGAATCCCTCCTAAGAATTTAGCAGTAATGTAAACTGTTAAAAGGAATAAAATGGATGAATAAAATGGAATTTTATTTAAATTTATTCTGTTAGTTGTTTAATACGGATTCTGTTTCTTATAGAAAGTTTTAAATAATGTTCTAAATGAAAACTCAAAACGATTCCTGTTTAATTTGGAATGTATAAATATAAAAACAAATGTTATTCTATGCTGCTCATACTTCCTTTCTGTTTGGAGCTCGAGCATATCCTATAGTATGATTTGTGTTTTAATTACTTGTCTTTTTTTTTCTGTAAACCTAAATCTTTTCACAGATTGGCAGCTCTGAGTTAATGTGATCTGGCATCCTACTACACATGCATATCTTTTTGGCAAATTTTCTTCTTCAATAGAGCTTTCCTTAAAAAAAACAACAACAACAATAGAAACAAACAAAAGCAAATTCTACACTTAGGATTTAAATCTTAAAGATATAGTGGAGGATTTTCACGGATGTTTGAAAAGGCCTGCCCTCTCCGCTTTAAAAAACCCAACATGCACAACCCTGTACCCACTCCCTAGAGGACACGGGTTGCTCCCCTTATGACATCATAAGGGGAACAATTTTCAAACACACCATTTTGAGCAAACATTAGCTAAGAGGTGGAGAAAAGAAATGATAGAGGTGAAAGGATTTTTTTCATATTTTATGAAGCTCACACACAGTCTTCAGGACACATGACAGTTACAAAATTGAATTTTGTATTATACGGGACTTTAACATTACAGACATCTACTTAATTGTTCTATTTGCATAACATCTGATTCAGCCTGGAGAGTCAATACATTTTTGCCCCTGAAGCACTGAAAACAGACTCCACTTTGATTCATTTAGAGCTGCATCTGGATGATGCATCTGGAATCTACCCATGCAGAGTGCACCAATGCTGGGAGTGGGCAGCGACAGACCAGGGTCTATGTTGGAGGTAAGGGAGGATGATGAACAAGGACTAGGACTAAATTAACTACTTTTTTTTTTTTAAATGTCTAAAATACAGCCAGTCACTGATTGGTTGCCCTGACGCCCTTTCATAGAAAAGTTCACATTTTAAACATCAGAGGTCACTGCTCCGCTCTATGTGTAGCCGCTGTAAGACAAAACATCACTTCTATCTAGTAGCACAAGGTGAGCTCGGAGCAGTGAACAGTGTCACCTCATGGGATTCGCCAGTGCTTCCTTGTGCAGTTCGCATAAGGATACTCTGTAAGTCCACCCCCTAGCTGCGCACCATGCTCAGTCTGAATGCAGCTTTAGGGTGTGAATGGGTGGTTTGACTGTGTTGGCCTGTTTTATTTTTTGTAATATATAAAGTTTTTTAAGTTGTGCTCTAGTCAAATGGGACTTTTACAAAGTCGGCTAAGAGGGGACTAAAGCTTACACATCTATAGCTGTAGCCATGGAAATAATGTAATCTACTGCTCTAATATTGTACAAGATAATCACCATATATTGGAAATATTTGAGACTCATCTGGATTCCATTTGAAGACTCCTCATTATTTTACAGCACACATATTGGAGAGGCAGACATACAAGAGGTGGCAAGGTTGCTATCTAATTACAAGGGAAAATAACAGTAAAATTAATAATAGATATAATGTTTACTGATACGGCAGGCATATGGCTTCAGGTTCACATTCCACAAAAAGCTTTTTCTGATTTATTCTTATTCCGATCCAGCTTGTGCACATTTGCTCACCTAGATAATGCATGTCATATGATAGACAGTGTATGTGAGAAAGAACTCTTTATTATGGGGGACCTGTGTAGACTGAAATACTGTATACTGCTCTGTGTTTTAAGTAATAAGCTTTACACCATACCTAAGCAAGAGGGCTTATGCAAGTTTTGACTAAACCAACTCAGATATGTTCTAGAGGTGATGGGCAGTCTGTACAAACTGTGACAGTCCGTACCAAAGCAATATTGATCCAAGTAGGCTGTAGTAATTATAACTTAAAAGCAATGGTGAAGAAAGCTGGAGTTGCCAATAGTGGACATAACAAAGATCACACATTTAATCAGGATGATTTTATTGAAGACAAACAAATGTAGTTTGGGTAATGCATGAATGTAAACTAATCCAGATGATATAGTTGAAACTTTTAACAAGCTGTTTTAAAAATAAATGATAAACATGCTCCTCTTATGATGAGAACAATTGGTAAGAAGAATTTGCTGGATTGCTACTGAAGTTAAAGACTGCAAAGTGATGACGCAAAAAAATAGTGATTATCTCTTATACCGGTAAGTCAAATTGACAGATATACTGAAAATTGAGAAACTCTACAACCAGATTAAACAAAAAGAAAAATATGATGGATTATAAAAATCTGATTATTAATGAGAGACACAAAAGCTATAATGGAAGGTCCCAATGAACAGTTTGGGGATATTTACGTATTTGTTCCTTATTTAGTCAGCAAGCGGTCAGGGTGCTGTTACATTTTTCACCTGGGCCAGCTTGGTTTAAATGGCTCTAAAACCCTGTGAAAATAAACCACTATTTGAAAAATGGCAGCTTTTATTTTCTCAAGTTATCTTTGCTTGGAGTTAAAATTGTATCAATTGAGAAATTATAGGTTGATAGAAAAAGCAAAAAACTAACTAAACACAAAACATACAAAGAAAGCAAAGCAAAACAAAAATAAGTATTCATGTGGAAATATATATCTTTTTATAGTTCTGGGGACATTAGAATTGACAATAGAACCCAGTAGGGCTGCCATGGTTATTTGGCAAATCGATTAATTTGTTAATTATGTTTTCGATTAATTGATTAATAATCAGATTGTCAAAGGTTCCTTAGAGAGGATTTTCTACTAAATGAAAGCAGGTGAAACTAAAGCTTTTTTTTTTAAAGCTTTGCTTTTTTTTATCTTAAATGCAAAGTGTTTTTTATATATATATATATATATATATATATATATATGGTATATATATATATATATATATATATATATATATATATATATATATATATATTGGTATAATTACTGCTTTAAGTGGGTTGCTCTGTCTGCTGAAAGCATGTTTTACAGTCTGTATACGTAATTTGGCAATCGATTACTAAATTAGTTCACGATTATTTCAATAATCGATTAATCACGATTAATTCAGAAATCTTCAGCTTGAAGAAATATGCAAATAAACTTAAAAAAAATTAGCTTATTAGATATTTTATTTTTGTAGTTCAGGTGACATTTTATTACAACAACACTGTAACTTTTGTAACATTTGTAGAAACAAACAATTTACTGTAAATAAATAAAACACATTACATGTCATCAAACAATTCTTCAATAAATACATATTAAATAAATAAATAAATAAATATTGAAAATACTGAAACATATTCATAAAACTTACTGTCATAAGACTGACATGACCTTTACTAACCTTTTAAACAGATTGGTGGACCTAAGAATGGGGTCCATACAGCTAGCTTATGCCTGAGCAGCTTTGCTTGGAGGAAAACACCACACATGGTAGTAAAATACAGCTTTGTTGTGGCAAATTTTATGGAGGGGGCGAGACTGTGATATTGTCAGAATTGATGGTGATGTTGTTGAATCTTCAGGTTTTTTTTGTTTTACTTCCTGTGCTCCCCAGAGGAGATGTAGCCCATGGCTCGATTGATAGTGATGGCACGAACATGGAAGCCTCTCATCATCTTACACATCTTCTGCCGGTTTACGTATGAGTCATTTTTCCATAAATTGGCTGCTTCCTTAAATATAGAACAGTCAGAGTGTGAATATAAAACAATGAAAATCCTTATAACAACAGAAATTCCCATAGAAATGATTCTAAAAAATCTTAATCCTTCTAAGGATCAGAGGAAAAAACCCCAACCAGAAACAGTGGCTAAAATAAGGAACAAATACTAAAGAAGGGCCAAAAAAATACCTTAGAGGAGTCTTGTCCTTCTTCCACAATAGTAGAACAGTTCTGTGCAAACCAAAAAAATGTTTTGTCATGCAACTTCAAATTTCAAAATTTCCCACTTTTCTCTCACTATATTTTCAACTATTCTTACCTTTCTCAAGTTTTGAATGATGCTCAGAGTTGGACTCAGGAGCGGAACTTCCTTCTCTGGCCTATATAGTGGGGACTCCAGGTAGGTCTCAATAGCAGCATCATAATAGGCCAAATCCTTCATGATGCTCATCAGACACTTACTCTGTCAGTGGGGGAAAGAACAAAGTAAGAAATCATACCTGATCTTTCATTTTACTGTGTCCAAAAACTAAATCATGAAAGCAACTTGTAGAAAAACAACATACCTCATTGAAGGATGAATTTATCAGCATCACGCAACCAGAGTTCTGCAGTGTGGGGAAGTACAAGTTTTTTACATTAGGGTTTTGTTTTTGTGGTAAAGTCTGAATTTCTGGTCAAAACAAATACCCACAGTAGAAAATGATTCTGAAAGTAATTGGGTTTCTTTAATCTTTGCTATTACTAAATTAATCTAAACAACAGGATTACTTTAATTGTTTATTTTTATCATTCTATTCTTTTATGTAACAAAGACAGATTTTATGGATTTTTTAGGTAGTTCTCACACTGATCATCTAATATAAGTATATATATATATATATATATATATATATATATATATATATATATATATATATATATATATATATATACACTATTTAATAAATTAAAGTAGTTAATAACTTAAGATTTCTCTTTACCTGAGCGTCAGAAGGTACACAGGCCTGCACCGTTTCAGCGCTCCTCAGTGTCACTTCAGTGGATTTCATCAGGCCATAGCACAAATCTTCCTTCAATACAAAATGAAAAAAAAAATGTATTAGTCATTTGTATTTTTTTTTTTTTAAATAGAAGTTAAAGCTGGTTATTATTACATAGACTATTGTTTACTCACGCTTTTGAGAAGCTCTGTGACATTCAGAAGGAGGCTCTTGAAGAGTTGCGCGCATTGTGCGTTTTTTTCGTTGCCCAGCGGCAGCGGCAGCGGCAGCGCAGTAGAAGAGCCGCAGTTGAAGGCGAGCAGCTGCAGAAGCAGCAGCAGCAGCGGCGCACAGCTGGTTAAACCTGCAAGAGAATCAAAATAAAAAAATAAACACACGGGTTCTTCTGTCTGGGTATAAAACATCCAACACCTTATTTTAAATAAAAATATAAACGCTTATTTTATCACTTGCTTCTAAATGACTTACAGAGATGAACGTATTTCATTTTTCTGAAAAGAAAAGGTCTTTGTAGGTACTTCAAAAATCAACTATTCGCTTCTGCCTCCATCTCAGGGTTTTTATTTAAACGGAGGGGTGGGGAATCCCTGCCACGTAAGAAATTGTAATTTCCTTGGCCGTTCCCATCGCAGATATCTATACCTGGTGTGATTTATTAAATTTATGATGGCTTTGAAAAAGCTGTCCTGATTTGCATGTGAGGGGTGAACGAACGAGTAAATAAATGATAAGGAAACGGCAACATGAGGGAAGGACTCAATTAGTCACTAAAACGGCGCACAGCTCTAATTGTGACGCCATGTCTTCTGCAGCGTAGGCTGCTAATTGGAAATTCATCCATTACTGATGCAAGGTTGGAGAACGTTGATGCCAAAGTGAATCACACTAATATTGATTATCACGAGTCACTGAACGTCTGCGCGCAAACAAACAAGCGACTATTTTTTAGGAGGCGGTGACAGTATTTTCTTCACATTAAGATGCCAAAATTGGGAACGGATATTAATGAGAAAATAAATCGTTCACATAGAGACCATTCATGTCCTTTTTTAGGTATTCAGCGCGGATCTCATCATATCCACACCATGAAAGTCGTCAGTCCACTTTTAACAGTAGGATAAAACAAATGCCTTATTTTTACAGGATTTATTTGATCGACAGGATTAAATCTTTCAGAGACTGCCGGTGACTTTCTGAAAGTTTGCGAAGGCTGATGGGTGGCGAGGTGAAGGAAGAAATGACAGGAGGCACAATTACATTGCAGAGGACCTGAGACTGAAATGAAAGGTGCTTAAAGTGGACTATTGTTAACCGTGAGATACATTAATAATAATAATGATTAAAAAAAAATAATAAAAACAACAGAACATATCAAAGTCTATCAAGCTTGCCTATATCATATAATTAAAATTCACAGGGGGGAAATGTCCCAGTAATACAAGCATCCCACACCAAACTTTTTGCTAAAATTAATTAACCAACCATCCATCCATCCATCCATCCATCCATCCATCCATCCATCCATCCATCCATCCATCCATCCATCCATCCAAACATAACCATTAGCAAAATACCTTGTGAGGACCATCAAAATGTCAGTTTTACATAAAAAAAATAGTTTACTTTACCCCAGATTGTAGAAAATGATAAATTCAGACTATTCAAATAACAAAAAAACTGAAAAATGAGGTAGTGAACCAACATACCTGTCAACAGGTGCAGAAGTCTAACAGAACATTTCCTGAAAACACCTGATTCCACTGACCACCAGTGTTGGTCAACAATTTTAGCTCAAAAACTCCATCAGGCTTGGTCAGTTGTTGGTAAGTTATACATTCTAAATTCAATGTAATAATCTCCATTTTTATTTATTACCTTTGCCATTTTCTATTTATTTCACTGGCAGCAGATATTTTTCTGGCTTTTATGTAAACATTTCCTGCACAACTGTAGTGCCTGTGGCCATGGGAGCACTGGGGGCAGTAACCCCCATAACAGGAGAAGTGGCTCCAACAGATACCTGGAGAAACATCAAACATCTCAGTCTAGAAATGTGCAGCTCTAGGAACAGATAAGATACTATGAAGAACCCTCATGCTTCCAGGCCTTTGTTAGAGTAACCAAGCTTGGGATGAAGAAATACAAGCAGTACTAACAAGTAGAAATCCTGTAATAGAAAACTCTAGAAAAATTCTTTTTTAAAAATCTTTTAAGATTTCTAACTCCGATTCCTTCCTCAGAAGTGACCCCTTTGAAGAAACACTTTAAATGTTCTAATATTAAATAATTATAAGACATGACATGAGGTTTAACAGGAATTGTCTTACTCAAACCACAGAAATGGCTCAGGTTAGAATGGCAGCGTATGCCATTGAGCTCATTTTGCCTGGAAGTAACCTCAAATAACAGTTAAAAGTAGCATTATGTATGTCTTCATTGTCACACCCTGCCACATCATTACATCAGTTTGTAAATGAGGAGACATCACTGGCTCCAGCCATACCAAGATAACAAAGGGTTCTCGTTCAAGGATGATCAAAATGGACACTGAATGAGCTCTCTGTTAAGAATGATCCACTCTGCTGTATGCTCCCCTTTTAACAGGCAGGTATTATTAGCATTTAACAAGTACATACATTAATAATAAAACATAATCCAAACAATCCTATTGAGCATCTTTGGAAGGAGCTGCAACATGCCATCTGCAAAATGCACCCTTCATGTTTGTGACAACTGGGGCAGTGTACCAAAATACCTGCAGAGAGGAGCAGAAGTCTCACTGACAGGTACAGGAAATGTTTAATTGCAGTGATTGCCTCAGAATGTTGTGCAACAAAATATTAAATTAGGTTAAAGTCTTTTTTTCCAGGACTGTTTCATGCATTTTTCAAAACAGCATGGTTTGACGAAGCAATGTCTGACTTATTTGTTAATTTTCCTAGAACTTTTATTTATTTTTACTTGTCAGGTTCAAACTGCTTCTCTGACCATTGTGGGTTTTTCTTTAATTGAACGTGGGGTGCCAAAAATATTGTATGCATGTGTACGTATTTATACATGTATAATATACATATATATGTAATATATTACTTATATCAGAAATGCCCTCTTCCCACTACTTCTTCTTCTGTGCTCAACACACTGTCTTTTAACGGAAGGGCATTTATTTGAAATGTTAGTAGTAGCCGTGTGGCTGTAGGAGTTTCCTGCTCTTTGTACACATTGACCACAGGATTGTAAAAAACCGAAACTCACGGTAGCTGTTTGAGTTACACGTTGCATTCAGGTGTGAGTCCCATTTGAAGAAAGTAGTTTACTTAAAAAAAATATATTGTATTCATCGCAAAACATTCAAGTCATATAGATCAGTCTCAGTATTTTTGGTCCTGCACCACAAGAGAGTGATGAATATTCATCTTAAGCTCACTGGTCTTGTTTAAGAAAAAAAAAAATCCTGATTATGACTTTAAAGGGGTTGCCCACAGTAATTTGCAGTCCCACAGAAAATAAGAAAACAGGCTAATTCAAAAAGTGTCATGATTAAGCAACATGAATATAGCAGCAGCTGAGTCACAGTATGTAATGTGTCACTTTTTTCTTAGAAAGAGGAAGCTCCAAGCTTTTGCAGACAAAGTGCACAGGCCAACAAATACGAAACCAAGTTTATTCTTTATTTTACATATCTGTACATAAACATTTCTTCCCTCAAATAAAGCATCTGAATACAGCAGGGTGAAAATCATATTAACACACTTAATCATTTGAAATGACTTGTGTCAGAAAGATTCAACATTCACAAAATGCTGATAGAGCAATTCAGAGTGAACGTACAACCAAAGTCTACAACTCCACTACAAAGCAGGCATGTTTCCTTTACACTTTCGGACAAACATTTCTCAGTTGAAAACTACCATTTGTGCAGAATAAAAACAGTTCAACTTTGAGTCCAATTTAAAATCATCTGAAGAAGTTAGTTTTAAGTTTTATTTTCATACAGTATTTTCCTTTTTTTTTCTTTTCAGGACTGACTTTCTACTAAAGTTTTAACTATTGTTTTTTATTTTTTCCACATTTTTTTTTTTGTTGCATTTGAACAGTTACAATTTAGTGGCAAATGTAGAAAGTTGAAAAGAAACAGTAGCAAAGCAAGGCCGATTACTGCACAGGAAGCCTGGTGGAAAGAATCTATGACAACACACAATCAGTTTCCCTCTTCCCCAGGAAGTAGGAAGCACTGCTCCGTCCTTCAATGCTGGGAGAAGCCATTTAAAGAAAGTGTCTTTTCTTCTGTGCTGTTGCTACCAGTGAAGTCAGTGAGTTGGCAGGAGGGTAAGCATCAGGAAGTGGGGGAAGAAGGGAAGAGGAGAAAGTACTTTTGACAGGCAAGGAGGTTTTGGATAGACACAGGGAGCAGAGAAAATGAGCCAGATAGGGAAAGTTTGTTTAGGATCAGGGTTAAAGTTCACAAAGGGGCAACGGATCAGAGCAGGACGGGATGAGATGGGACGGGCATCTTATTTGGCTAGGGTCCTCTCAGCCAAATGTTTCTGCTGGCTCTCTGCATGCCTGGGAAGAGAAAAGTTAATAAAATAAAAATTCATTTTAATTAATTGCATCTCTTTTGAAAAACACCTAAAATCTTAGAACACATAAAGGGGATAAATGCAGATATTTTAAACTAAACTAAACTCTTATTAAGAGTAACAAATCACCCAAAAGGGAGTTTTATTTTATATGGGTTGGGGAGACTTTGGGTTTTATTGAACACCTAAAAAACTAGTCTGGCAAAATGGGAACAGTTTTAGTTTGGATCATAAAAACATTTAGTTTAATTAAAATATCTTATTTAGAAGTAAGCTGTGTCTATATTATATTTGCTTTACGAGTCTTTCAGAAAAAGCAACAAGAAATGACCTTAGTGTTAAATTGGTCAATGTTCTACAGACAACTGGAGAATAAAATTGTGTTTTTCTTTCGTTTGGTGTTTTCCAAGATAGGCTTCAAACTGCAATAAGATCATGGGTGAGATCAAATACAGAAGTGTTTACGAATGTTTTAAATCTGATACCAAACCCAACTAAGTCAAATGTATCCAACAACCTGCACCAACAGTGCGTTTTAATTGGGAAACTCCAGAGTCTGGAAACAACCCACTGAATGTGGGAACTGGAGTTTGTTTTGATGAAAATACAATCCTGTTGCAGGCTGGACATGGAGTCCACTTGGGTTTGATTGTACTGATCACAGATTACTTTCAGGGGAAGTCCACGTTCTCTGCAAGTCATAGTTAATGAGAGTTTACAAGTCTGCAGGAGGCTCAATGCTTTAGGGAAAAGGTGTAAAAAGCTTTTTGCGCCTTTCTAAAAAAAACTAAACTTTTGGTTTTTTTTGAGGCAATGGTGACCAATGGATTAGATTAATAATAGCACTAACTGGCAATAAGTCATTCATATCACAGTGGAGAAAATTTTACTCGCTATTGTTAAATTTGTTAAATTCAGTCACAATGAGGACTTTTGAACATGAGCTGTCTTTTTAAGGTCACATCACTGTACAAGTAAAGCCTGCATGGCTTTAGATGTATTTTGTGTTCCTTTGAGAACTCCTTAATCAACCATTGATATTCTCTGGGATAATTTTGGTTTCTTTTTTTTGGATTATGGCTTTTGTTTGAATCATTGGAGTCCCAAGCACATAGAAATGGTTTATAACACTCAAGTAATCATATTTGGACCAAGAGTGACCAAAACTTAGTCCACATATTCAGTTCCTATAAGCAGAAACCACCATTTAGGCTTGAAATCAGGATGTAGAGATGGACTCAGACCTGAACCTTCAAAGGTGCATACCAACAGTAACAAAGACTTCCTTCTATCATCTAAAGAACAGCTCAAAGAATAAAGGACAACTGTCTCAGTAGAACTAATTCATGCACTGATCTTTAGAGAACTGATTTCCTAAAAGGTGTCTTCACAGGCTTAAAAGTGTATCAGACAGCTGCAGCTGATCTAGAATGCTGCTGCCCTCATCCTCACTAAAACTAAGTGGAGCAAATCACCTCAGCAATACAGTCGTTGCACTGGGTCCCTGTATCTCTGGGAAGAGGCCTCGGGGAATAAGTGTTAGCCTGTAAATCATTGAATGGTTTCACTCCAAAATACATTACAGATATGCTGTGAATGTATCTTCCACCCAGACCTCTCAGGTAGTTCAGCTCAAGTTTAGTTTGCATTGTCTATATCCAGAACCAAACACAGAGAGGAAGCTTGTTTAGTTCTGATGCTTTACTAATCTGGAACAAACTCCCTTAAACTTGTTAAAGTGTTGATACCCTAAGCTGCTTTAAATCGAGATTTAAAAAAAAATATTTTTTTTTAGAGTGGCCTTTGACTATTTGACTATCTAAACATAATTACTGAAGTTTTCAACTTCCATTTCCTTTTTTTTTTAGCAATCATTTTATCTTTTTTGATATAATTATCTTATGTTAGTCCATAGTTTTGTTCTCTTGAAATATTTCTGCTGCCTTTATGCCACTGCAATGCATTTTCTCTCATGTGCGGCACTATGAATTATCTCACACTGAAATTAGCCATATAAATAAACTTGCATTTCCTTGCTTTCCCAGACTTAGAATTCTTACTAGCTATTTTTTCAAATGTATTGGAATTCCCATTTTGATGCTTTGATTTTTTCATATCCTCAGTAAACTTCATGTTGTATGAAAGGTTCTTTTCAAGCATTTGTTTTTCTTAAAAGTAGATGTTAAACCTTGGTATAAAGAGTGCAACAGTAACAAAAATGTCCCTAACCAATATTACTCAAAAAGTTATTTATAGATATTTCCTCACCTGGTGAGGTCCTCAATGTCAACCAGCATTGCATCTTGCTCCATGTGTAATTCATCTCGAATCAGTAGCAACTGTACAAGCTCCTCATTCAGACCTGCAGTGAGAAATATGAATATGCACACATGTGATTAAACAGTAATTTAAACATTTATAATTTGTAAATAATCACAAATCCTTTAAAGCTAGATGATATATATAGATATATATATGCATTGCAGACGTCTGATAAACAACCTAAGAGCCACCTAATATCTTAGTTTCTCTTCCATAAAGCAAAAGGTTAAAGATGTCTTTAAAATGGAAGGCTGCTGTTGTACTTGGAACTTGACAGTGATTTAGGACTCATGGGGGTTTTGAAATAGATTAATTTTAAAATGCCAGATTATTCATCTCTAAGTGGCATGATAAATGAGTTGTAGAAAGTGGTAAAAGTAAATATTGTCGGTAAGCTGCTGACTGGTATGCAGTATCCGTTAGCATTTGCTCCCTTACTCATTTCTGCTAGTAAAAGCAGAGGTTAGCGACTTTGTGTGTGTTTGACTTACTCTCAATCTGGGAGTGGAGGTCATTGACTATAACCTGAAGCTGCCCCAGTGTCATGTCTCTCAAGTCGGTGGGTTTCAGACTTCGTTTCATTAGACACTCACTTATGTGAGGCATGTGTGGAAGCTGATGGGAGGAAAAAAAAATCACTTGTTAGGTTTTATTCTTTTCTCTTTTGTGCAGATAGCCAAGGGATATTTGATTTACCGGTACTTGTTACATCAAACTCAACTCAAATAGTCAATAGTGTTTACATGGGTATTTATATAGATGGATATTTATATATATAGCTATTGCACTGGGTATAAATTCTAAAAAACTGGTTATTGCAAAGGGTATCAAATAGCAACTGCACATTATACATTGCACAAGTTATTGTAGTGTGGCATTGTAGAGTCTGGTTGCAGCAGGGATGAATGACCTGCGGTAGCGCTCCTTTTTACAAACAGGGTGTAAAAGTCTTTCACTAAGAGTGCTGCTCAGCTACAGAGGGTGGAAGGTGTTGTCTGGTTTAAATGGTCATTATTATGGCAAATAAAAATACATAAAAGTAGTGTCTGACTTATTAATGATGTAGATGTAAAAACAGACAAAAAAAAGATTAATAAACACGGTCTGTAAATTTCGTTTACATTGATTTCTTTAGACAATAATAATGCAAATATGTTTAAAAAAAGGACAATAATTCAGATTAGAAGTGACATAAGTAAAAAAAACAAACGAAGGCAGGAATTGAAATAATCTCTTTGATCATTTTTGCTATTGAACATTAAATAACTTTTAACCTGTTTGCTTTATACTTAATGTATACCAAGAGAGCAAAGGGAGGTGGTTTCAGAGTCCTCTCCAAAGTGAAAGGACTCATGGAATAAAGATTTTCTTGGCTGACAGCATTATTTCAGGCAGACACTGGAATATAATTCTTGCTTGTGAACCCTGTTGCTGTCATCTCTCTCACCAAACCGCGTTCAAATCTTTTTTTCTATTCAACACTCACTTTCACCTGCAGTCTGGGCAAAAACACAAATAGAGTGTGTAACGTGCAAGAATTTCTTAAAAAACTCTTTCACTTTCTTAAACGCTGCTAAGTCCACTGTAAAGGCCACAAGGTATTGGTTTCAGTTTCTTGAAATGACGTTTAGAAAGGTGTCATCAGATGAATGTAATGTCAGAGGCCAGAGTAAGTTAGTTATGGGAAACGCTCTATTTGGGTTGACTCAGCTCCTGACCAAAGCTTTAGTTTCTGTGGTGGCCTAATCATGCTTCTAATTAAAAAATCACCTTTTAAGCACTCGATACCAGGAAGTAAAAAAAAATTATTTTAGATTGAGGAAGTTTGCTCATTTCTGAATGAAGCCAAGGGTCAGAAGATTTACTCAGGATTTTTATTTGCAATGTTCTCTCATTTTCTATCACAGATTGTCTTTTTCTGGAGCTTTAGGAAAACCCACATTCTCAGCACATGGGTTCAAGTTGAATCTGTTGTAGACAATCTCATTGTTTGTCACTCAAAACGAAGGTAGGAAAATCCAAGTTTGTTGTAATCAATCTGGGAAATTAAGATTGTATGCCAGAGGAAGGTGGGTTTCTAAAACTTTTTTTGTAATGTAATCATCCACAAAATCTCCAAGACAGCTCTCCATAAAAAAAAAACCCAAATCAAAACACTAGCAGGAATTTTCTATGCTTTTATTTTTATTTGTCGGATCTGTCCATTATCTTCAGATGTCTCCTAAGGCACGAGTTTAACAGCTCTCTGCTTCTGTAAAATAACTGGATGCTGCAGTTTTAAAGCAGCTCAACATGCACTGTGCGACGCATTCTGATGTGACAGTGATGTCCTCTGACTGCAGAGCACAGCTATATCCCTGAACACCTGAACCAAAGCTTCCCGTCATATAAATTATAGATGGACCTGGTCAGGCTGTCCTGCTCTCCTTTGAATAAGTAAATTGGCTGAGGAAATATCGAGTGCCCCAGAGTGACACTATGGGAGATTGTGTTGGGTGTCTCTCGGTAAATGTACTCCAGAGGGAGAAAGATAGGGTAAATAATGACAAGCAGACTCCTAGACACCTTCCTTTCTCTACATGGGGCTTAATGAGGAAGAAATAATAGAACTAGCACAGTAATTGTGGCTTTATTGTTTACAGAAATGACACTTGGGTAACCATTTAAAACATTTAGTCTTAAGACTGACAAACATTTTGTTTTAAAATGTTTGATAAAATTATTCAATTCAGAATTTAGCTTGAGCTCCTTATCTAATAAACTTAAATCTAAGTCAAAATAAGCCATTATCTGTCTGAATGAGAGTAAAAAAAAAAATCTAGAAATTATTCATTTATCTTTTCTGATATATAACAATAATAATAATACTTAAACTACTACAACTACTACTAATAATGTGTTACTAACCATACAAAAAAAAAAAAAACGAGTTTATACATGATTTACTTAAAGGTATATAGGACAATCTTTTATTTCCAGGTGGATCATCTAATTAAGTGGTCGTCCTAATTGTCAATCACTCTGGTGATAATTTTACGCAAGGCCGTTCTACGGCTCGCCTTATTCTACGCATGCGCATTTTCGGCCGCATATGTGTGGTTTGCTACGAGTTCATACAGTCATTGAAGCTCACCTTTCTCACCGCGGTTCTATGAAAATGGCATTGGATCGTAAGAGAAAAAGTGTCTACGAAGTGTATGAGAAGAAAAGAAGGGTTTCAGAAGAGGCAGATATATCCTCGAATGCTTTGCGTGGAAAGTTCTCCTCGCAAAGCATTATGGGATTTGCTGTCACAGCGGCCTGCTGTCGACATAGGCTGCCGCTACCCGACAGCGGTGACTAAGAACAAAGATGGCGCAGGCACCGGGGAGTGAAGGAGGTGATACGTAACCAATGGAGCAATAAGCACTGATCATCTGTCTGAATGGTATATTAAATGAGTTTGCTATAAAGTCCACCATATAGTCCCTGCTATATGTGGACACAGTAAGCTTGTATGAGCTATGAGAACAGCACATTTTAAACAGGGCATCCAAGAGGAGAAATGGGCTCGTGCATCCTCTTGCACTCGCATTATTTTTTAAGTGGAGAGGGTGGGTCTTTTAAAAAAGCCTTTACAATACCTTTGAGAAACGTGTTTCAAAAAGAAATGACTAATTTATCACCACGAAGATCTATGAACAAGACTTAGACATTAAATCTGAGCACGACAGCTCTCTACAGTTTTAATCAAAGCAGGTGGAACCTTTAATCAAGATAATCAGATGATAATGATTAAGCTGTGTACTTGACTTAAACAACAGCAATTTATAAAGGGTGCATTTGATAGTAAGAACGTTCGTAACATTTCAAATTCAATGGGTTTGCTTATCTCCCCCCACTTCAGCTCAGCTTAAGTCATGGATGATCGATAATAAACACCATGTTTAAACATAATTATATTCATCAGTGCACTTGGCACCAGGACACCCTAACCAGGAATTCGATGATCAACCTTGCAGACATATCTCTCTACAAGTGTAGAGAGGGTTGGAGCTGTCCACAGATGAGTTGAATATGCTGAAAGATGAGGAAGCTGGAAAGACTGGGCAGGTCTAAGTGAGTAAGAGGGTACTGTAAATGGGTACTGGGAATGTCTGGCGGAGGCCTTGGGCAGGAACATATTCAACTCCCACCTCCTGGAGAGCTTCTCTCAGATACCTGGGAAGGCTGGGACATGGAGTCTGAATGGACCATATTCTTTGGATATAGTCTTGCTGTGGCTGACCGGCTCTAAGGTCTGCGGTGCCTGTTGTGGCGGCAACCCCTGAACCTTATGGTGGGGACGAGAAGTAAGGAACACTGTCAAGCTGAAGAAGGACTCCTATCTAGGCTTGTTGGCTTGTGGGAGTCCTGAGGCAGCTAGCAAGTACTGTGAGGCCAAGAGGCAAAAAAAAAAATCAGATCTGGAAAGAGATTGAAGAGACCATGGTTGAAGACTATTTGCCTCAAAGCATGTCTGATAAACCAGTTCCTCAGGAGGGGTAGCTGCTGACTGTAACTGAGGATATTGTCAGACATTGGAAGGAATATTTTGAGGATCACCTTAAATGGTCGACATGCCTTCCCTGGCAGAAGCAAAGATGGTTGTTCAGAGCAAGACTTATTCACTGCCAAAGTCACAAAGGTGGTCAGAAAACTCCATGACGGGAAGGCTTTGGGGGTAAATTAAATCCACCCTGAGTACCTTAGACCTCTGGATGTCTTTGGACAGTTGTGACTGACTGGCACACCGGAGGGCTGGATTCCCTCCATAAGAAGGAGGAGCAGAGGGTGTGCTTCTGTGCAACTAATGGGCAATCAAACTTCTCAGCCTTCCCTTCATAACCTTTATGGACAGGATATTTGGGTGATAAAGATCAGCTCCACCAAGTCTAACACCATGGATCCTGACTGGAAAAAAGATGGCTTCCTTCCTTTAATTTAAAGGGGTTTCAATATGAAGGACTTTCCATGGAAAAGAATATTTCCAAATCTGATAAGATAATATCTTAAAGAATGTTTCCATTGGTAGCTCTTTGTTAAATTTACCTTATTAGTGCTTAGAAAAGTGGTTAAGCATGATTCAGAATATATCACCATCCTATGTGTTAGTTATGGTAATTATAACAGATTCTACTTTTTTAGTAACTTAGGGTATTTCCCTGAATCTCTTTTAGATACATATACTTTAACGTCATTCCTGGCTGTGAACAAATTATAATTGATCAAGAAAATATTATAATATAAATATAATATGAGTTTTTTATTGCAATATGTATTGACTTTTCAAACCGTACCATAGTACATTTTTCCACATAAAAAAGTGGACCAGAATAAGCAACAATTCTTCTAACCATTGTTATGGATAGAGGTTGCCAAACATTCTCCATCTTAAACTGCGTTGTTTCGATTTGGCACCTCTGCAGCTGAATGCAAGTACTGACTTGCAAGAATTGTTATGATGTCCATCAGGAAATGATCAAGCTTGCAAATATAAATACAGCTGGAGAGGTTAGAAAACAGCAAAAAAAAGTAGCCGCAAATCAAAAATAACACCGGAAATATTGGAAAAGGATAGAAGTGAGCTATTTTGTTTTTTAAATACCGGTATATGAAAATAAGGTAGAACAAACACACAAGATTAGATTAGCGTTAATTAAAAACATTTTACTGTTATTTTTATTTTACTGATTTAAATTCTTTTGTATTCTTTATGTTTGTGAAGCTGTGGATGGGAGTTAGAGGGGAAATTTGATATGATGCAGACGTGTGAGTGCTCTGTATTTATAAAATATGTTCTAATTGTTTTTTTAAGTTAGATCTCTGATCTAACTTAAAAAAAAATATTTAAATAAAAATAATATATAAAGGTCCTTATATTTGAGCTGTTTTTAAGTAGTAGTTTTAGAAAAAAAAACATATACTGATATTTTTAAAAAAAAATTAAAATCACTGTAAAGCTTCATGTGTCTGTTACTGACCAGGTCCGCCACTGGTGACTTTTTACGGTTCTGTTTCTCCACCTCCACCTGCATCTTGGCCATAGGCTTGGCCATCGCCAGAGCTAGCTTTGCCTCCTGCTGCAGCTTCTTCTGTCGACTCAAAAAGTCCATGTCCTCCAGGGACTCTGAGTCATCCTCAGTGGTGTCTCTGTCTGAGTAGGACGAGCTCTGCTTGGACTACAGAGGAAGAGAGGAGAAGCAAGGGATAAAAAAAGTAGTAAGTTAATATAACCTACATTATGATTCACAGTTTCAGCAAACAACCAGCAATTACTTTTTGTCTAATCTGGTTAACAAGAATTGAAAAAAAAAAAAAAATGTTAGTAAGCATAATCATAACGTAACCTGAGTGTCAGTAACTCTCTGGTTCATAATGACTTTCTCATCTAATTCCCTACATTCTCCCTCCATCTAAACCTTATTTCACACAAACAGCTCTTTGTCACGTTGCTACTTTCATAGTGTAGATGGCACATTTCATAGCAATTTCCTCATCTTACTGTAGTCCTCTATATTATGTCATGTTACCACGAAACATTTGAATGTGTTCTTTCAGGATTTTATGTGATAGACTAACGTAAAGAAGCAAGAAGAAAATAGCCTCTAAAAAAATGTATAAAAAGCAAATACTAAACTGACTTCCATCTGATGCCCCTAAATAAAAAGTCAACCACTGACCTTTCAACCTACCTAGAAAGTAAATAGAGTCCATCTGTGTGTAATTTTATCTGTCTAATCTGTCCTGTGTAGGCCTATGAGGTTTGCTTTATCAATTAAAAAATGTCTGGATCAGTGTTGAGTTCCAAGTTTAATGGAGTAGCCTAACAAAGCCTCGTTATGGCTTAGAAAACATGCAAATTAAACCAAATAAACAGGTCCATCCCGTAGTAATGGAGAGTCTTTGAGGTTGCCGTTGGCCTGCAATATATATTAGCCTTTTCCCCATGAAAAGGAAGTCTTGAGGGCAGGCATAGGGTAGCATAGGGCATTGCAGGTCAAAATGTTTTATTTTTTTTTACTTTTTTGGAATGACTATGACCTGGATGAAATGATTCATTTGTACAGCAGGCAATAAGAGAAAGATAGCTACATCTCATTTAGGGGAATCTGTTAAAAATGGCTCCTTTTGTATTAACTATGCACTCCATGTAGCTGGCTTTTGTTGAAGAGTGGCAAGAAGAAATGTTGAAGATGTCGGATGGTGCTTGCAGAATGCAATGTAGGCAACAGAGCAAACATGTTGAAAAAAGGTCTGTGTTAAAAAAAAAATGTATAATTCTGCTTTCTGGACAACATGGCTTAAAAAAACCCAGGGTAATCCTTGATGGAAACCAGGACAATGACCTTAATTACACTATGAGATCAATGAAGTTTTACAAAGTGTTGTCTTGGGGGTCTGAATATAATCGCACTTCTCACTTTTTTTTAATGCAACATTTAGAAAAAAAGAGATATCATTTTTCTGCTAATTCATAAATATGCAACACCACAATCCCAATAGAACACATTGATATGTTGGATTGTATTGTGATAATATGTGGACATGATTAAGTGTTACGAGTACTTTAGAAAGACACAGTTTGCATTAGTTTGTACCATGGGGGACAGAGGTGTGTCCAGACTAGTTTCCGTCTTGCTGTCATCCGCATCGCTGTCTTTGTCACTGCCGCTATCATTGACAAAACAGATTTGTAGGTTCATGCCACTCTGCAGCCTGATGGGAACACAAGGACAGAGAGAAAAAGAGGAGAATGATTAAAAACAAAAAATGTTTGATGAATTCAGTTTAGTTCTTTGCATCAATTAAGCATTTAGCGTGAAGAGTGATCCACTATACGCATAAGAAAAACAAAAAAACAGAAACTGCTCGTTTTGCGGTAACAAAGTTCAGACTGTGGATAAAATTAAAACAGGGTTTCTGTTTTTAATCATCACTGCTGTTTATCTCCAATGCAGATTGATCCAATAGGCCACCAGTAGGTCCAATACAATCCACTCAAATCCAGAGGGGGGTGAGCTTTTGTGTCATGGAAGGGCAGGATATCAGCAGGGGGCAGATCCACTCAACTGCTGATCAATAATCTGCTTATTCGTTGCAGTAATTATAAACAGGGGCTCATTGATTACACGGTAAAGATCCATGCAGGTCCAATTTACCCAGGACCCAAGTGGCCAAGTGTTGTTTCTAAGGACAACTTCAATTTATACAGTTTTCTTGGCTGTAATATCTGACTTATTAAATCAAAGGACAAACTATCGTTTCATTAGGCTAGTGTTATGACTTTCCTTTTTTCGTCAGCACTAACGGTTGTAAAGAATACACATGATTCAAAGAGCAAGAAAAACAGTGCACTTTGGTGTTTACGGGAGATTTGATACCAGTAAAGCTCAGTGTCTGAGGTGGCAGGAGTGTTTGTGTGCATTTAGGGTCTTTAAGGAAGTGAGAGCTATGAAGGTTGATCTAACTTACTCATGCAGGCAGCCTCAGTCCCTTAACTCTATTCATTCATCCATGAGAATGAATTTGAATAATTAAGATTTATGTGTTTTTGATTCATTTGATTTGCTATTTCAAAAAATCAAGGTCTTGAGGCATGAACCAGTAAATTCTTTAAAAAGATTCTGTGTTTTCCATGCATCGATCACATGGCTCATTTGGTAGCTACAACCTCAAAGGTCTCACCGTGAAGACAGGCTGGGTTTACCGCTCTTGCTGCAGCTTGTGTAGATACCCGGGCCATCATCGAAGAAACTGCCCAGGGCCAACTTCTGCCTGATCGATTCCCTCTCATTCTTCTGGGCCTTCAAGAAAAAACAAACATATTCTGATGTTAACAATCTGATCCTTTTTAATCAGGTTTTAAAAAAGACTTCTGCCAAAGAGGTGGTCTCAAAACCTCCCACAAAAACTTTTACTTTTCCAACACCTTCAGGATTAGTTGCATGTACACAGTGTTATCTTTAGTACCTTTTTCCTGTAAAAATCACTCTTGCAAACATGGCAAACAAACTGGCTTTGACTTAATTTACAAAAAAAGGTTTTAATGTCATCTAAACAAGCTGATACAAAGTGTGTAGCAAGATGTTGAACTACAAAATATAATAGTATTTAATTGATTGTACCACTAGGTGGGGCTATTGTTTCATTATAAAGCCACCATGCTGTCAACATGATTCTATCCCCATTAAAAAGTACTTTTTTTTTTTTTTTTTTTAAAGCTACATTAATACTAGAACCTCAAAAATTATTAATATATATTCTTCTAAAATTTTAAAAAACTTTCTTTGGGTTTTAGGGCCAAGATAACATAACAGCTCTTCACCTTCAAGCAGAGGTAAGCAGGACTAAAGAACAAGGGTAGCTGGCAATGAAGTTAATCAAACAATCTAATTTCAATTGTATCAAAATTTGAAACACAAAACAAAGAAAAATATAAGATGCAGTGAAGTGCTGAAAAGGTAATAGGTTCAGTGCAGGGTGAGAATGGCTACCTTTATGGATTTGTCTCTTTTTTTCTATGTCTATTTAGTGCCTACTTTATTAAGTGCCTACTTTGTGCATCCTTTAATGTTATAATGCAAAGTTGATGTATGCAATCAAGTCCTTGCATCTTTAACCTACCCATTTTCATTTGATGAATTTTACAACCTTTATTCATTCATAGTGCACATAAAAAACAACATAATCTGCACAAAGGAGTTAGAAATAGGACAAAGATAAATTAATAAAACTGATATCATAAAAAGGGAGCAACTAAAAGATAAAAATACATGAACAACAGCAAGCAGTACAATAAGTCAAAGTGGTAAGATGGCGGCCCAGTGAACAAACAGCTCTCTGTCAGCCTGCTTGGGTTATTTGCTGCTGGTCTTTCTTGGATCTGCTGCCAAAATGTATCTTTTCGACTAAAAGGCATACATTGTGGTTAAGATTATTTTATATATTTTGATCTGCAATAAATGACATCTGTGAATCCTACAAAAGATGTTCAACAGTGTTTCCACTTTCAAATTTCCATAAGCTCCAACAGTTGGCAGGGATATCAGAATGACACACTGAACTTTGGAGCAAGTCTTATGGTTTAATTTATTTTTAAAGAGATGCAACATCAAGTTTAAGGGACTCAATTTTTGGCATGCTGCTAAACTTTACCATTTAAAGAAAGTCAAGTTTGGCTGTTTGGAATGAGATAGATAGTGGGTAATGAAAACTAAAAGTGAGCCACCTGTAACTATTTTGAATTGAAATATTTTTAGAAAGAGGGTGAGCTACAAGTGGCACTTCTGTCTACTAGGATCTTCAACCAACCCCAGCCTCACCCAGAATTTTTTGTATGCGCAGGATAACTATCAGAGCAGTCAAACTGTTAGCTGCTCCTTATCTAATTTCCGCACCTTCCTATCCTTTATGAATCAGTCCCATCGGTTGTCTCAGCCACGATTTGTCTTTCTGACTCATCATGATCACGCCCAATTTCCCCTTACCCCACCTCACTCCATCAATCTGAGTCTGCTCTGTTCCTACCATCATCCCTCACAGAGCTCTTCATCCAACTTTTTCTCCACTTGTTTCTCAGCTCCTTTCCCCCTTCTATCCTCCTTCATTGTTTACCTCTCTTGATAACTAGACGCATGCTTTGTCAGACTGTTCTATCACCAAGGACAAAAATTAGCATAATCCCACACCACACGAGAGTCCAACACACTCTTGGTAAATACACACTGTTGGATTGAAGGTGGAGCTGACTACTGCTGCTGCTTATCTGCACAAAGAAAAGCTTTGATAACAAAGATGAAGGTTAGCAGTTAAGGCCTCAGAGGCCCAACAAACGCCCTCATGGTAATAAGAGGTCAAACGCTCCTCTGTACAAATAAACAACTCCAAAAGACAACTAGAAAGCTTTCAATTTTGTACATAAATGAGAGCAGAGGAAAGGCAGAAAAGAAGACTGGCTGCATATGGAACACTATGCAGAAGACATCAGCAGTTGCTAAAACTTTACAAACCCTTTTTATAACCCCTTATTGGTTGGATAAGCCCAGTCTGCTGGGGTATGGATGTGTACATGCTCCAACGAAACAGTAATGAAACGTTTAAGTACTTTAGCATGAAATTCTCTAGTAATTTGTTAATTGTAGAATGACATTTTGCGTGCAAAAGAACAAAAAACAAAACAATGATTGTCAAATAAAAACAATGTAAACTGTTCAGAATGTTGTCATTAAATGTTTAAGGGACAGAGTATAGTATATAATCAGAGAGAGTGACATTCTGAGAAACGACATGTCACAAAAACTGATACATTTTCTTCTTATTTACTAATATACCACTGCAGTCACCAGTGACATTTTATATTTATCGGCCCAATTCTATTCTTTCAACCATTTTTCATTAATGTCTCAATTAGATCTTAACATCCTAAGATGTTTTTTTAAAAGCCTAGATTGTGCATTGACCAATGAAATGTAAAAGAATAGAAAAAGCCATATTTTCTTAGTGGTTAGTTAAAGTCTATATATTTTGATATATATCTGCTGGGCCTGTTGGTTCATGTAAGGTACCTTGAAAGTGATGCAAACAGTCACAGCGCAAATATACCAGATGACTCTAAGCTGTAATGATGCAAAAAGAGAACCTTCCTGTGTGGGAAATATGGGTTGAGCACATTGTCCGCATTAACACTGAAGTAAGGGCAACTAAAATTACTCCCCATCAGGGTAGTCACTACAGCACTTAAAATATAACAGCTTAGCAAATAATGTTATTTTGCTGTTGTAGTTTTATAAAAGTTGATGCTGGAAGGCAATTGCAATTTAATGCATTTAGCAGATAAAAGTCCTGCGGTTGATCTATAACTAAAATTTAAATAGAAAATTACAGCAGTTGTTGAAAATCACACTTTTTTCAAAAAAGAATGTGCAAAAAGTAACAAGTATAAATGACCCAGTTTCCCTTAATTTGATTTGATTCTGTCAGTTTATTTCTTGAGCGCTGATTCACAACAAGTTATTACTAAAAGCCTTTTAGAGGACAAACACATCCAGTTTCTACATAGAAATATGCATACATAGATTCAGTCCAGCCCTACCAATGGATTCAAAGTAATTTCCTGAAATTCTGAGAAAAGCTTGTGGCTCTCATCGCAGTCATGAAAAGCCTTGATAAAAGCCGTCATTTAAAGAATTACTAGAGTCTTCTTCTGTGCACAATAGAATGATTAGATGTTTTCCAGAGATGTTAAAAATTCAGTAAATTTAATTCTGCTTGATCTGATGTATTTAGTTACATTTCAATGCAAAAACTGCTCAACAGTAAACAAAATGACTGATTAACACTTTGGCTAGAAAGATGCAGGAATTTGGCACCTGTCTGATATAATTCTTTGCTGAGTGCAAACAACTTGTTGGTTATATGGAAGAGTGATAAAAACATCATGACAGCCATAAAACATTTTCAAAGGTGTAAAGAATGTCACTAGGAGGTGGGGCTGAATTTTCTTTAAAATCATCTATTTCTTCTTAGGAAGCTTTTAGATTTTTTGGGTTGTTATCAGTGTAGCACATTTTCCATAATCTTTTCCTATTTACTCACAGCTTTCCCATGTGTGGTTGTGGATTCATAAACAATCAGAAACATTACCAATTTTGATTGCTTGAGTCAATCAGACAAAATAAAATAAATTAAAAAAATACGAATTAGCCACTTTGAACTTCAACATCCAAAAAGGTGCTTCTAGTAACTGACTTGGAAAATTGAAGAAAATTAAATTAAAACTTCCAGGATGCATGTGGGAAATCAGCATGCAAGAAAGAATAAGTGACAGCCCTAACCACCTCCTTCAGTTCTACCAGAGCCATCCAAATTAGATTGGGAAACACAAGTGGGCTAATTTGTGTTTTTCCTGAAGTTCACAAAGCGATTTCCTCTGCTGAAAAAGCCTAATTGGCAAAGACAATTTCCCCTGCACTCAAATATTCAGCCGCAGGCCTGGAGGTTGTTTCAGTCTTGGCGGGCGTTGACATGGTGCTTGTTTTTTGGCCAGCAAATCTTCTTGCAAAATCTGTATTAAAAATATGGGATGAACTGTGCCAAAAAAAAGAGCTTCCTTTTTTCACTTTTTGCAAAAAATGCACTGATTACAACTATAAGGAAAACTGTAGATGTATGGTATCTGCAGACTTTTGTTTTTTTATATCCTTTCCTTATTTATATTTAAATTTTATAACAATTTTTATATTCTGTCAGTTGAAATGTTCTCTTCTCACTTCTTAAAATATTTTCCAGAATAGTTCTCATTAAATGGTCTCCCTGTTTCCTGCACAATAGGTTCTTGTTTAGTGAGATCTTCCTCCCTGGTAACACACACAGACTGCTGTTAACACACCTGCACATATAACACAAATACCGGGTTATTTGAGCACACAAATGGCCTTTTAAAGTTGAAAACCAAATCCATTATGTCATTATGGCTTGGATATAAAAAAAGAAATGTAATTGGAGTTCACAAGACTTCTCTAAAAATATATGTCCAATGTTCTTAAGCTGTTATCCAAGTAGGCCTACACATGCTGCTTTGAATGAAAAACCATGTAAAAGTTAAAGACAAAAATATTTTTGGGAAATAAAAATTAAAGGATTAAATTGCATCCCTCCTTAAAAAAATGTCTAGGTATACATTTTTTCAAAACACCAGAAAATCACAAATCTGGTTTTATTGATATTTTAGAATTTATATTAGTGCTTTGGTTCTGGGAAACATAAGCTTTTACTAAAATGATAAATAAAATAAAAAAATAGAACC